ATTGCCAGAATCCACAACTATCCACTTCTGGCCTCCACAGGCACCAGGCAGGCAAGTGGTATATAGCTATATATGCAGGCAAAACCCCTCAGTCACATAAAACTAAATAATTCCTTTAAAAGGGAAATAGAATCTTGGATGTCTGGTATTAAAAAAAGCCCTTTCTAGATGTAGTGTGTCTACTTTGCTCATGACATGGGTCACTTTCTGAGGCCTATGAGACATGGAGAAAGGTAACCTGCCCCTTATGTTTACCTGTCTGCTGTTGAATCTAAGGTATGGGTGAGTGTTGAGGCAGTGTTTCTGGAAGCCCATGTGTCTGTGGCTTTAAGTTTCCATAGTGTTTATTAGGGATGTATTGAAATTTTCTATTCGGTTTGCTACAGACTCTACATGTTCTTTAAAATTACTTTGAACAAGAGGAGAGAAAATAGGGGTACAGTTAATCATGTTCCTCAAACCACCAGATCCAGCAACTTCTGCCTGCCTTCCACTGGTCTCTGTAGCTCACACACTCACATTAATCTTGCTTCAGTAACTTTTCTCTTATTAGTCCTAAGCCTCTTCATAGCTTCCAAAATTCCTAATAACTAGCTTACCAGCACTTTGCAGGTGAGACAAGTATCTCCACCTTAGCACCTCAACTCTGAATACTGCTTCTATGCCTCTTTGTCAGAATGTAGTTTTAGCTCTCTGTACCTTTCTGGAGTCCAGACATAGCACTTATTCATTAATGTAGCTTTAGCTCCTCTGTGCATCAACTCTTAGTGCCACTTGAATGGGCATATTTCTCCACTTCCCCCTCCACATGTCCTTCTAAGTCTGAATTCACTTCCATAGGCGTTTTGTCTCATTTCCATGCTTCTAAACACACACACACACACACACACACACACACACACACACACAAAGAGAAAGGGGAGAAAGAGAGAGTGAGTGCACATCTTTAAACACTTTCCTTGCATGGACATCCACAGTGTGTGCATGTGATTAGCTCCAGTGGTCAATTTTTAGTATTAGACATCTCTCTTATACTGTAACTTCCATGTTTTCATCAGCTATTTGAACCAGCATCTGCCCTACTGCTTCATTGAAATAGCTCATACAAACTTCCCTAATGTTCTCCCTGTTGATCAAGTCAATGGTCACTGTTACCCTTTGTCTAGCTAATACATGGATGAAACTGTTAATAGGCTAAAAATACCTTCTACCACCATTTTATAGTGACCCTTAGTCTCCATCACAGACATGTTTCTTCTCTGTTGTAGGCTGGGTCCAATAGCCTGGCGTATTTATGGTTCAAATGCTCCAAAACATAGAATCAAGTTTTAACATGTCATTTCCACTTTCTGGAAACATGCTTACAGTGTATATATAGAGAGATCTAGAGTTTTATTTCTTGGCCAGACACCTCTTGGTACTGATAACAAATATGCTTCCTCTGCTACTTACTAGTTAGTCCCAAACACTGGCAATGATAAGAGTGGCAAACGATAGGTTTTGTTGCAAACTGATCACATGTGACACACTACACAATGCTTCATGAGGTCATGAGAAGTTGAAAGTGCTCTAAATCTCATCTTGACATGCATGTACAGCCCAGAAGTGCTAAATTAATTTATTTGTAAATATTTAACTAGCATCTATTTGGAGTCTAGAATTCAATCCCTGTCCACACTATCTGCAGCTTGAACACCGTCTGATACCATCTCTATTTCCACTGTCAGGCTACATATTCTGAAGCCCAAATGTATTCTGCTTGACCCTTCATTAACCTCAATCATATAGATTACACTATCTCTAGCTCAATACTCTCAACTGACTCCAGCAACTTGGTTTTATGAAATCCCAAGTAATTAACAACATAAAGGTCTTTCAAGATTTATGTGAATTGATGTTTTCCGCCTACTATAAGAGGGAAAGCATGTTATACATGCTACAGTTGGATTCAAGCTAGGGCAGAAATGCACAGGCTTTAAAACTAGCAGCTCTGATTTCATCCTTAAACCATACACATAGCAAGCAGGACACATAATAGTTCGATGTTTGTTATTAAATTTGATCATTCACAACTGACAAGGGGGTTGTTGCTGCTATTCTGATCAATGGTAGTTTGGTTTAGTTATGAAAACACAGCTGCTATGTGAACATTTTGTTTAGATGTGGCTTGAATAAAAAGTTGTATTACAAATCACCAAGAAGAGAAAAATACGCCTCCACACACATGTACACACACGTACACACGCACATACACACTACAACTGAAGCAATAATGTAAATGTTTATTTCTAATGGAGCATTAGAAAGTACAATGCAATCTAGGGAACTGTTTTCACAGCAGTAACTAAAAGCACTTCTTTTATCTCTCATGTCCCTATTTCTGTGGTGGCACACTGGTCACCTGGGAAGACCTTTCTCCCCTTTGTCTACACACAGTCTAATGATCTGTTCGTTCTTATCTATTATAGATCCCTATAGTTCTCTCTTGTGATTCTTCCAGCTCTTTCTTTCTTGAAATTCCTCTTGAAGTTCTGATATGCAGTGTCTCCACTGGATATCCTTCTGAAACATCCCTCTTGCCCACAGGATAGCATGCAGTCTCTTGGAAAGATTCAGTATTAGCAATAGGTTGGCCAGCCTCCCAATCCACCTTACTTTCCCACAGTTACTATCCGCACAAACACTTTCTGGCAAACTCCTTCTGCTTCTTTGTCAATCATTGCACATTTCTGTCTCAAATTCCCTGGGGATGCCCATCTCTGCATTTTGGCAGCTTGGAAACCCCTCTTCCTGTGGTGATAGGTGCAGGTCTATGAAAAACAGTCTTCCTGGGATTACTGTGGTTCTCCTGAACTTTGGTTTTATATTTCAAATCTCCAAGTTCCTTCTTCTAGCCTAAGCTGTATATGTAAGGTCAACATGGTATATGAGATCTTTCTGTATATTCCCCTATCACCCAGTCGAGGACCTGGTAAAGATTACTGTATAGCAAAAATTTGAAGGACAAGGAAACAATAATAACTGAGTAATTTGCACAAGTCCTTGTAGCTATACTGTAGATGTGATTGTGAGAAAGTTGGCAAAGTGGCTAAACTAAACCTGTAAGAAGGTACCTAATAATCTCTGATGAGGGAACCTAGAGAGCATTCTATTTTGACTACCCAGGATTCCGTCATTTTTACAGTGAATGGGGCCTAGTGGTCACCAGAGGATATTCTAGATCCAGGAAAACCAGATATATCACTTCAAAGAGTCGAGGAAAGTGAAACACAGGGCCGCATGTTTAGAAATTTGGTTCATCCAAGGATCTATGAATCAGGAGGAGCCTAAAAACATGCTCTGCAGTCATTTCTCCTCTGCTGCATCAGAGTCTGAATCAGTAGTTCTCAACCCTCTTAATGTTGCAACCCTTTAATAAAGTTCCTCTTGTTATGGTGACCTCAACCATAACATTATTTGGTTGCTAATTCAGAACTGTAATTTTTGCTACTGCTATCAATCATAATTCAAATACCTATGTTTTCTGATAGTCTTAACCCCTTAAAGAGGTTTTGACCCACAGCTGCTGGGCTCAGTTGTACTAGGCCACACAAAGGTTTATGCAGGCCAGTAAGAAATATTCGTTGAGTGCCTTCTGTGTACTCAGTCTTCTAATTTTCAAACATGTGGATGAGAAGCTGAGAGGTGTGTGTGTGTGTGTGTGTGTGTGTGTGTGTGTGTGTGTGAGAGAGAGAGAGAGAGAGAGAGAGAGAGAGAGGAAGAGGATCAAGCTTATTTCAGTGATGAAGATCCACTCACTATAAACAAGCTCAAAAAAGCAATGCCTGAGAAAATAGGAAGAGAACAGTGCTCTGAACCTGACAAGGGTGCTGCAGAGGCTTTATTAGATTAGTGAGCTACAACAAAACCTCTCCACAGAGCCTTCAGGCTCACAGAGCTTTCTAGAGCAACAGGTAAAGGAGGATGTTGTTAGTGTCCAATGAGAGCTTGCTATGCAAATATCTGAAGCCAATTCGAAGCTCTATGCAAAATAAATAAATAAATAAATAAATAAATAAATAAATAAATAAATTTCCAAGGATGCTGTAGATTCTTGGTATGCTACCCTTCCCCTAACAGGCTTTCTCATTTCTTCTGGTATTCTCTGGCATATTCTCTAAGAAAAAATTGCCTGCCCTATTGTGGAGAGATATTTTCAGAAGCCTCTTCTGCACCCAGGCCCCAAGGCTGAGCAGGAAAGAATGTTGAGTCAGTATCCCTGTGGAATTGTCTTCCAGTGAATGTCTTTATCTGATCCTCTGCTAGTGATTGTTCCCTAGTCCCCTAGGTACCCATGAAATTGAATGGTTCAGACCAGAGGTTACTAGGGAGAACCCCTAAGCATCTCTTGTTTCCTGAACCAAGGGTGGTACTTAGTTGTCTAGCTTCCTTAGATGTGCTCTGAAGGGCTGGAGGGTGTGGAGTGAGACCAGGAAGAATCAATGAGGCTAGGGGAAGATGTGGAGATCGATTGGGCTCAACAGGTTGTAAGGAAGAACGCAAGGACCTCAGAGCTCATCAAGGGATCTGGAAGGGGGTCGCAGCAAAGTATCCGCAACGCCCACGCGCGTGACTTCTCCCCGCCAGTGGAGGCTCCCCAAGCCACAACCACTAGCACGTTGCGTTTTCCCCAAGCCCTGGGCCTCACGCTGCAGGCTCTCCTCCTCCTTACTCCTCCCCCCCCCCCCCCCCCCCCCCCCGGCTGTCTGGCAGCGCCGCAGTGCTGGCGGCTGGGGGCCTTGGCGACAAGGCTCCCTCCTCTCCACCCCCCTGCCTGCTCTCCCTAGCCTTGCTCCTCGCTGCGGCAGCGATCACGTCGTCGGAGATTTCCATCGGGGGTCAGGGGGCGGGCCCAAGGTGGGGAGCGAGGCTGGGGCGGGGCGAGTGGGAGGAGTGAAAGTTGGAGCTCAACAAAACCCTCCACCTCGCTCAGAACAGCCAGACCTGCGCTGCGACCTCGACACAGGTGGTCGTGCCAGGCACCGCGGAGATGTTGCCTAAAGTTCTGCTGATGCTCCTCAACATGTTCCTGGCCCTCCAGTGGAGGTGAGTCTCCATCCTGGGACCCGAGAGCATTCTGTGCCCAGCTGGCTTCCGGGACCGTTCCCTTGTGTCCAGCCAGATCAGCCTAGTCCCTTGTCCCTTCGACGCGTGCTACCCTCCCGTGGGCTCCCCTAATAGGAAGGCTTCCGGGGCTGAAGACAGGGAGCCCGGGGAAGTCAGGTGGGACCATGTTCTGTCCACTGACGTCGTGGACTCGGGCTGGCCCTCAAAGCCCTGGAATGGTCGGCCAGGAAGCAAGAGCACCTGTAGTCTGACACAGGAAGAAGGGAAAGGGCGCGCAGAAACCGCTGGATCTAGACCTTACAACTCGGTGCTGAGGACTTTGGGAAGGTGGCTCCTGGGCTGGGGGGAGCTGAAGTGCCTCGAAATGTTTTAGTGTTTCCTAATCTATTCACTCTTGCTCACATTTTTTTCTTCTTTTTCGGAGCGCCTGCTAGTACCAGGCACGATGCCAGGCAACTCTGACTTTACTTGCTTCCCATCCAGTTGCTCGTTTTTCCTTCCAATCTCAGGCAGGAACCTGAGCCTTGGTTATCTAAGGCCTCCCACCCCACCTACCTTCCCTTCCCCTTCTCACCCCAAGGCACCCTGTTTGGTCTTAGAGGCAGACCTGAATCAGAGGCCAGGAATGTTTTTCTTTTCTGAGGTCTGTGGTTTGTGGCCTGGATTTCTAGCCCCCTCCCTTTTCTGATTTCTTTTGAGCTGCCAGCCTCCCTCCCTTAAACCCCTGATCCTGGGCATTTGTAAGAAGGGTGTCCCTAGGGCTTCTTGGCATTTAGGGTAGAAGATGACTGTTTTGTATGTGTTTTAAATTGGAAACTGTTTCTTGTGGGGAGTGAGCTGTCACAAGTTCTTAAGCTTCCTGATCTGTCGAGGTTTCTAGAAGTCTCTATGGCATTGAGCTTGTATCTTTTCATTTGTTTGTTTTGAGGAGGGGCAATGTGTCTTCTCTCCCCAACTCAGGTTATATAGCTCCTCAGGGAGGGATATGTGGATCCCTACTGGCTTTCTGGTACCCTAAGGTGAGGCTGGCCTCAGAAGGGTCTTGGTAAATGTTTCTAAATGTGTACTAATAATTTCTTGCTATTCATGTCCATTTAGATGGGATTTTTTTTCTGGGACAAAAGATGGCCGAAGATAAGGGAGGGGGCATGAAGAAGAAGGGAGGGATATAAGAGGGAAAAACAGTCCATCCGGCGGGAGGGGGTGAGAGACAGAAACTGACGTGCTCACACTGTCAGCATGGCAACCTGTGATGTCAGGAAAGGGGAGGTGGCAGTGGAGTGTGTTGGGCCAAACTTGGATTTGGTTCATGCTCAGTTTTAAATCAGGTGCATGGTTTTGAGCATAGCCCTTTCCTCATATGGACATCAGTTTGTCCAACAATAAATTTAAAAGGTCAGCATATTTGAGAAAGAAACCCAGGATCTTCCTCATGCTCCTTTGCTTCCCTCTTTAGCCAGATTTGGAAGGTGATAGTGCAGAGCTTCAGTCTCATCCAGAATTATCACATCTGAAGGGCTGTGTATATCTGAAAAGCTTCCTTGGAAAATCTCACTAGTACATTGTGGTTTTCTAGGGTTTATTCTCTCTAGCTTTGAAAAAGAGCTTGGTGGCTTTTTGGAGATGTGTATGTATATCTAGGAGCTTCTTAATCCCAAAGGTCTCAGGGTGTGGCTATTTGTTTGTTTACACTGGCAAAATCAAACTGAAGGATCAAAGTAACCTCCACTCTCCCACATCATTTTCGTTGTAGGCCTAGTAGAGGGCCTCTGATCCCCAGAGGTGTTGGCCTAGGGGATTAGCCTCTAGATGCCTAGGAGACTTGAAAAGTCTCAGGGAAGAAGACATCATCTAGATATGGCATTTGAAAATAGAAATGCTTTTCCAAATCCCAGTCTTTGCTTAGCCCAGTATGGGAATTAGCCATTTCAGAAATGAGAAATTGTACTAGCTTAACCTACCTATATGGCAATTATACTATTCTAAAAGCTCATAACTCTGCAGAAAAAGAAAAAAAAACCAACAGTGTGATGCCCAATTACCAGTCCCCTGGTCTGCACCACAGGAACCTGCTCACCTCAGTCTGCTGCTCTTATTTTAGCGATTAAGTTGCCTGGTGGCTTTAAATACCATTTTAAAAGTGCAATGCACTTTTAAATATGAAAGCATAGCAGTCATAAATGAACAACAGCTCAGTGAATTTTCATGAAGTAAAGATGACCAGGACATAGATGATAAGGAAATAATTGCCCTGCCCCCAAGCATCACCAAACTTAAAACCTTCCTAAAGGAAACCACTCTCTTGCCTTTCAACACAAATGTTAATTAGTGCTGAGAGCTTTTTTCAAAAGCTTTTAATTGTATTTTTCAAGTATATGTAGCAAACTGAATATCCATATAGCCACCATCAGCTTTAATATTAATGAATGAATTAATGGTCACTTGTTTTATTTGCTCCCTACCTACCACTATTTCAACTTAGCTTTTTAAAAATAAATCTCAGACATTATATCATTTTGTATGTAAATATTGAGGTTATTAAGGACTTTACCAATAAAAATATTTAAGAATGACTTGTTCATGCTCCAGTTCCACAGTAAGTGTTCAAGTCTCTACTATTTGTTTTTCTAATTTGATTTTAAAAATCAGAACTCAGGTGTGATATCATGGGTATGATGATGTTATAATGCATTTTTACCGAATTAGAACCCATATACAGAAAAAGTGCTCAAATGAAACGCATACAACTGATGTGTCAGAAAATGACCACAGTGGTGCCTTTCATACCCTGCTGTGGCATGAATTTCGTATTTTAGCAAATGAATTTCTAAAGTGTTATTATTATTATTATTATTAGTAGTAGTAGTAGTAGCAGTAGTAGTAGTAGTAGTAGTAGCAGCAGCAGTAGTAGTAGTAGTAGCAGCAGTAGTAGTAGTAGTAGTAGTAGCAGCAGTAGTAGTAGTAGCAGTAGTAGTAGTAGTAGTAGTAGTAGCAGCAGTAGTAGTAGTAGTAGTAGTAGCAGCAGTAGTAGTAGTAGTAGTAGTAGCAGCAGCAGTAGTAGTAGTAGTAGTAGTAGCAGCAGCAGCAGCAGTAGTAGTAGTAATAGTAGTATTGCTGTTGTCATTATTGGTCCTGGTACCCAACATGATCTCCTATTGGCTATCCGTTTCCTCATTGCAGGAAGCCACAACATGCTGCCCTCTAGCCTGTCCTCCTCCACATCATAACCTCGATATGAGTATTATTATAACCATCCCAGAACTTTTCAGCCCTATATGCTTCCAAGCATTCCTCAACAGTCCTGACCTTTGGCCTGCCCCTTCCTTTCAGATGCTGTGGCTCAGGCAGACGTGAGGCTAACGTTAGTAACAACAGCTGATTGGCCAGAGCTCACGGAAACCATGCCCACCTATTTGCTTTCACAAGAAACAGCCTTTGACAATTTAGTCATTTGTTGTTGACCATCTTAAAATAAAGAATTATGAAAGAATTGCATACAAGTCTCCAAAGAGCAATAAAATTGAAAAGGAATTATTGACTTTTATCTGTTAGTGCTTCCTAGTTTACTATTAACACTCACTAATTAAGCCTTGTGGTGTAAATATTTTGTTTTCCTTCTGTCTCAAAAGGCATCAATTCTAACCCTTAGTGATTGTAGGCTAGAGCTTAATTTTTTGCTTTTATATTCTAGGGTTGGACCTCATATTAAACTGGAGAATAAACCCCCTGACCAAGATAAGGTAGTCTTCGGCCCTCAGCCTCAGCCTGTGCCACAGCCTCTGACCCCGCCTGAATCTCCTGCTGGACATGATGTTGTCTTCGGCCCTGAGCCCCAGCCCCAGCCAGAATCCCCTGGCCATGATGATGTAGACTTTAGCTCCCAGCCCCAGCCTCTGCCTGAGCCCCAGCCTCTGCCTGAGCCCCAGCCTCAGCCAGAGCCTGAGCCTCAGCCTCAGCCTCAGCCGCAGCCGCAGCCGCAGCCGCAGCCGCAGCCGCAGCCGCAGCCCCAGCCGCAGCCGCAGCCGCAGCCACAGCCCCTGGCTGGGCGCCAGCCTCTGCCCCAGCCCCTACCTTGGCCCCTGCCACTGCCCCAGCCCGAGCCAGAGCCCCAGCCCCAACCTGAGCCCCAGCCTGAGCCCCAGCCAGAACCCCAGCCTCAGCCTCAACCTCAGCCCCAACCTCAGCCTCTGGCTGGGCGCCAGCCTCTGCCCCAGCCTCTGCCTTGGCCCCTACCACTGCCCCTGCCCGAACCCCAACCTGAGCCTCAGCCTGATCCGCAACCTGAGCCTCAGCCAGAACCCCAACCTGAGCCCCAGCCGGAGCCCCAGCCTGAACCCCAGCCTCAACCCCAGACCCCAGGCCAGGTCCAGGCTGGGCGCCAACCCCGGCCCAGACCTCAGCCTGAGCCCCAGCCTGAGCCCCAGCCTGAGCCCCAGCCTGAGCCCCAGCCTGAGCCTCAGCCTGAGCCTCAGCCCCAGCCTGGGCCCCAGCCTGAGCCAGAACCTGAGCCGGAACCGCAGCCCCAGCCAGAGCCCCAGCCGGAGCCCGAGCCTCAGCCTGAGCCTGAGCCCCAGCCGGAGCCTGAGCCCCAGCCTGAACCCAAGCCGGAACCCCAGCCGGAGCCCGAGCCTCAGCCCGAGCCTGAGCCCCAGCCTGAGCCGGAGCCTGAGCCCCAGCCCGAGCCCCAGCCGGAGCCTGAGTCAGAGCTGGACCTGGAGCCAGAACC